GTTTCAGGTGCATAAATTGGTCTTGGGATGAAATCTCACCAAGGGAATTTTGTGTAATCCAGTAGTTAAGTCTGATTTTTTTAAAGTTTGCCGGTGTTTGAATGTTGCAAAGTGGCTGCTGCATTTCTATGAAATGAACATTTAACTGCAGTATACAATCTAAATGCAAAATCCTTAGATGGAAATTTAATTGTATGAAATGTGCACAAGGTAATTAAGAACAAATTTTAGAACATTTCAGACTATAAAGTTCTCCTTCAGCTTGATCACTGGCAATATTGAAAATGCTTATTTTCAATTTGCAGTTTTGCCGAGAAACATAGAATATGTCTAAATTAAGAATTTAAAAAAGCAGTGCTCTTCCATGAAACCATAAGCTTAAAACTACTTGCTTTTTACATTGTTGGTATTCTAAGTTGGGAACTTGATCACCAAAATCATGTCCTGAGTTTGTGTCCTGCACTGGTTTCTGGCTACAGTGTATACTTTTCTTCTTGTCAGTTATACTTTCATGACAGTTATTTTTATTATCAACAAAAACCATTTTTGTTACATGTAAGTAAATATCATCTATCCTGTTTGTTTGTTTGTTTGTTTTTGGTACCGGGGATCGAATTCGGGTCTGTGCGCTTGTGCAGCAGGCAGTGAAACCACTAAGCTAAATCCCCGGCCCTCATCTATCCTTTTTGTTAAAGTACAGAGGTTTTCATCATGCAATTATTGTGTATTGACAATTGTAACAATTATATACCTACACACATCCCAATATACTTGTTATTTAAATTATGAAATACAACATATTCAAATACTGCTAAGGCAAGAGCAGTTCACAGATTATGGTTAGACAAATCAAAGATCAATAAGATGACACTAACAAATAGTCTTAAGTTTTCCAGTGAAATATTACTGGTTCACTGTTATTTAAGTGTATTCCCAACTGGTAACCATATTGAAGACATTTCTTTTTCTGCCTTTTGCATAATAAATGTCCCACAACAAGTATTCAGCAATTTGCTGAGTCTTAAGTGTTTGGAATTAAAATGCACTTTTTTATTTAACATTAAATAGAATTTTCTCCCTCCCTCCTGTCTACCTCTACTCTCAAAAAATAACTAAAGCTTTTCCAAATCTTTTACAATGTGAGCACCTCCCCTCCTGGGAATGAAAAGGATGTGAGAGCCATGTGATGAATCGCTGGTGCTTATGTGTGTCGACATTTTTCAATATTTTTTTTAAAACTGGACTTAAGCTGCCTGTATTTAAATGCATCTTTGTAAAGATGATAAAGAGAGCAAAGATTTCTATTGGCTTAGCCCTAATCTGTTTGCTTTGTTGCAATTCTTTTTTCTTTCCCCCTTTATTTTAACTGTTAACCTCTTTATAAATCTAAATCTACATACAAAGGTCATTGGTTGGCTGAACTTAAACCATTTTACTCAGTAAATTTAATTAAGAAAATACAGTGCAACTCATAAGCAAATGAGTTTTTTCCTAGTTTTAAACCAAACCACCCTCTTGAGTGCTGATTGCCTTGCCCGACCCCTGGTGATACAGAAACAGGCAAAATTAAAAAGGACATTAAAGCTTCATTAAATCTGAAACACATTTAGTACAGTGACATATCTGCAGGCCATTTCAGAGAAGATTACATACTCTCTTTTGTAAGTTTCCTAATTTATAATACCTTGACAATAAAAACTGGGGAAATGCAAGTAGATTAATAGACCAGTAGGGGTAAAAGATACAGAATGGTCCTGGGTCCGTCTGTCTCTGGAATACTCAGAGCATATGCGCCCTCTTTCCCCATAAGGATTCTGCATTTATTTTGACTTTTGACAGCCTCTTGAAGAGGCCGTATCTGCTAAGCGCCCTTTTTCCTTCTTGCCTCCTCCTAATAGAGCTTGATGAAAGGGTTCTGGGGCCTGTCTATATATTTCCTTCTACTTTGCCACGAGACAAATAGTGTGGAAATAAACACGGCCACTGCGTTAGACCTGGAAGGATCAGGACATAGCGGAAGCCAGGTTCCTCTGCTGCCACCTTAACACGGCTGCTTTCACTGCCACCCTGACACTGCCATGGCCCATGTTCACTAGTATAGCATTGGAATCCTTGGCCTGCTAGTGCAATAGCCCAGGGATGACTTTGATGGGAGAGGAAGGGATTGTCTCACTGCTATTGCCAGGGTACCTACTGGTCAAGGTCAAAGAACCTTCCTCTGCCCTGGAACTCTAACCTCCAGGATGCCTTAGACTCAGTCCCTCCAGGAGCATAGTTGACAGGTAGACTGAGGCTCCACCAGGTATCAGGAAAATACAGAAAAAACAAAGCCAGGCCCAAGACTGAGGTGTTCACCAGTTCACACACTGCCCCCTCTTCCCACGGAAACTAGGCTAGAGGCTCCCGCTGACTGGCCACCACTGAGCTTTCTCTCTGTTCTCCTGCATGGTGGTATCTTACAGAGCACCCCGATGACATCAGCAGTCCCGTTTACCTTATAACAACTGTGACAGAGGGGCCAAGTGGATGAGTGCCAGTTTCCTGGAGCCTGCCTCTATATAACCAGTGATAAGGTTGAGAACCAGAGGTGGTGTTGAAATGGGGATAATCTGAATTTTCACCTTATCCTCTTCTTTATCTTAAAGCTTCTGCTCATTGTTTCTTAATTCTTTAAACTGCAAGAACCAGTGGCCAGTGTTGGCAGCTGCCACCTGGTTTAGATCTTGAAGGCATGTGTGGCAGGCAGGTATCCTCTGCCTGCAAGCCAAGGGGACAGAATTCTTCCATGGTTCCTAATGATACGTTCAACATGTACCCAAGTGAATGGTGCCATGTCATTCTGTAGAGGGCTTGAGACAGAGTTCTTAGTATTTTCTGGTAGTTGATAAACTGTTGGGGTTTTAGTTGAGAGACCCTCCTCTTGCTGTTTTTCTAGTGCCAGTGGAATACGTGCAGGATTCATGGCCCATAGACCATGTGGTGGTAGGTGGCGCTCTGGGCGAGCCTGCCTGTCAGATGAGCACAGAACAACACAGGTGCCTGGGGCCTACCGCACTCAGCCACACTGATAACTCCTAGATCAGTGTGCATGTTCTCACCGGCCAGAAACACAACACACCGTTGTTCAAACTGTAGGGCAGACCTACATTGGGTGGGCCCAGAGTGGGCGCAGTGGGAATGCTAAGCTTCTCCCCTTTCTGATGAACAGCAGCATGAAGACCACAAACATACTAAGCTAGGTGAATACCCACACTTTCTTTTCTTTACTCCATCTTGTGATATTTTTAATTTTCACTTTTTAATTCCAATATGGAAGATTAACTCAGAGAGCACTGAGCTACATCCCCAGACTTTTTTTTCTTCTTTGAGACATGACCTCACTAAATTGCCCAGGGTAGCCTCGAACTTACAACTCTTTGGCCTCAGCCTCCCAAGTAGCTCAGATTACAGGCATGCACCATCATGCCTGGCTACTTTTGTTATTTGTACTTGAAGGGATTAGTGATTTCCAAATGAAATAATGACTGTGTATCTTTATATCTTGAAAATCCATATATATAACAATATTTAGCTTGTTTATAAGATAACAAGGTAATGACACTAGGTATTTCTAAACCCACACACACATATACGTAAACACTCATACAGATGCACACAGCCCAAAATGAGTGCTGTCCCTTTCAAAGTAATCACCTTATAAGGTCACATGGTTTATTCCTATTGCATTGCTGTTGCTCAGACTGGTCTTAAGTCTTTGACAACCTCAGCACCTTCATTTCTGTCCTTACTAAGCAACAAAATATTTATTCTTTGTAGGTAGCTTTGGATTTTGTTACTATCAGTAGGTCATTCACACATTAGTCTGTAAATAGTTCACGTGATCAACAAGCTGAAGAGTATAATTTTAAATCCAGGGTGTACTTCCGTTAAAATGAAGCAAGTATTCTTCTGTTCCATGAAATGACACTAAACACAGTGCTATAAGAGGAGCCCAAGAATGTTTGAGCACTGTTGGTATCTTGGGAACTGACCCTAGGTTCCCACTGATGCACTCTGTGGGACTCCTCAGTAGGATTGTAGGATTCTGATCTGTGAACCCTATCAGTACCCTCTTGTATCCATTCTAGCTTTGAAATTCCCTGGTGTTATGATTCTACTCTGAAAGTGGTTATAGGTATACATGAAGGGGTTCAGGACGGAGAATGGGCCAAATCAGGAACTTGCAAATTTTTGCCATTATTTAACTAGGTTATGGTGTATTTGTTACATTTGATCTTACTATCGAGCCTATTCTTGGTTGAATCTTTTTTTTTTTTAACAGGTGGGGATCCAAAGGCCAAAATTAAATAACTAGTCCAGAAAGAGAGTCATTTATGAATCAAACTAAACCAGAAGTTCTGAGGATTTACTTTCCCAATTTCAGCCTTAGACCTACAATTTCAACATGAAGGCCTTCTCACTAGCAGTAGACCTTTTCTTCTTCTAACTGTAGATAGAAAATGTATGAAAAAACATAACTAGTAGATGAAAATAGTGGCACAATTTTCAATTTCATAATATGGCCCATTCCCCACTTCCTGCAATCTTTCATTTATACTTGTAACTGAAGACTCTACAAAGCCAAGAACAATTAGATGTCCCCATTGTACAAGACAAAAAGCCAACCGTTTTACACCTCTGTCTAGAAGAAACTGTCGCACATGTGTAAATGTCAATAATGCCCACAGAGCTGAAAATATTCCTAAGAGAAACCACATAAGGGTAATGTTCAGTTATTAAAATTAGAGTATTTTATCAGGAATGCAGCATTGTCTATTGAAAATGTCCATTCTAAATACAGCTCATAATGTAATTACAGCAATAATTTAGTTTGTGCGTTTGAGGTTGTGAGGTTTTTTATATTTGCTGGATGCAGTTCTGAAATTTAGTATTTGTCTGTCTTAAGGAGATCTGCCCTGCATGCAAATCCATAACTAGACAAATATTATTTCCTTTCCCAGCTTGCTCTTGGGAGATTCCCATATCCTCAGGTAAGATTGTTCATTACTGCCGTTTGCCACTGTGACATTCATTCCTATGTATGAAGGTGCAGGGAGCAGTCGTGAACATTAGAGCCACATACAAATAAATCTGTCCTGTTAAATTGAAAAGTGGTATTTTAAAGGAGTCATTTAGAAGTCTCTATTGATTTTTGATTTTTTTTTAACTCCAGACTTTTTTCTTCTTTGTTAAAGGTTGACGACGATCTGTGCTCTTCCTTTGTGTGACATTTGAGATGTTTTTGCCTTCTCCTAGCCTAGTACCATGTGCTCATATCGAGTCTGGAGAAGGGGCTCAGCCTTTCCTTGGTGCTGTTTTTTGAGCTTTTGGATTTAGTTAAAATTACTTTATTTAAAGGATTGAGATGAAGAGTGGAAATAATCTAGGTCATTATTTTTGCCGGGTAACTAGGCTCCTGATGTTACGTGTAATTTTGAGCATATTCTTTGTGGATACCCTTCCTATCCACATTTCTAAGAAAACGAACAGTCCATGGTATTAGCATTGCTGACTCCAATTTTTATAATTTTTTTAAAATTTTTATTGTAGGAGATGCTAGCACTTAAAATATAAAGCTGTTTTGTGGTTGGAAAATGATTCCCCAGTGTGTGTGAGGAAATCAGTGAAATGTCTAGAGGGATGAAAAATGAATGGCTTGACTGTTTTCCTCTGGTTGATGCTCAGTGTTTTTCTGGCATCTTGGTCTGTACAGGCCAAAGTGCCTGGAGGCATGTCTGATTTAAAGGTGGTGTTGGTCTCTGCTCTTTAAGCATCTATTAACTTGCTATTATTATGCAAATAAGTGTTGTATTACACATACTAATTTATGCATGGTTAGATTATGCAGATGCATCCCAAACATGGTTATTGAATAATAGGAGGGGGCTCCTTCTCTCCACCACCTTTATAAGCAGTTTGAAGAAAATTCTCCGGGTACCCATGTGAACATTTAAAGAGCCTTCACTCGCCAAAATGTCTCTTGTATCCTTTTTCCTTCCCAGTTAAAGTCTTCAGATAAGTGGGATTTAGAGAAACCGCCCAAGATGTTAGGCTCAAGAGTGTTAGTCCCACTTTTCAAATTTGTAAGTCTCTTTGTTTAATAATCTTTTCCTTAAAGAGAAAAACCTGAAACATAAAATGTGCACCCCAGCATTTAGTGGGGTTTTAGTGTATATACAGCCTTGATGCTTAGCTCTAGGTAGCCCATCAAATTAAAATCACATTTTCAGGATTTATAGCTTATTAGAATATTTATCTTGGTAAAGCCTCTTATTCTGTCAGTAATTTTTAAATAATTCATTGTTTGGCCAGTTTGTATAATCCTGTAAAATTGTGAAAATGAGCAGAAGAGGCTCTGTACAATATCATCTCTCAAACAAGTCATAGTAGAAAACTTGAAAGCCATCTAATAAAAATTCCAAAGGTTGAAAATGTAGCTGTTATTCTTGAGATTCCTAGTGTCTTCAGTAATCACTCAGTAGAAGATGCCAAGTGAGGGATCTGGCGTGTGGATAGCGTCAGGGCTGTGGTCAGTTGGGAAGAGGGGGATGTCTTTGCGGTCTGTCTTCCGCTGTGTCTGAGTGTCACACATCAGATCAGTCAAGTGAAAGCTGGGAAATTCTAATATGATGAACTCCCTAGTTAGCAACAACCTTTAGGCGAGGAGGGGGGACTGTATTTCTTCAATTATAATGGAATATCATCACCAAACTGGGACTTTTATTTCAAAAAATAATACAAGTAGCTTTGATGCCAGCAGACCTGTTTTCCAGAGCTTTCAACAAAAGTTTGGGTGCTCTGTTGCTAAAATCAATATGACTTTGGGCAGAACTGGCATTTATTTTACAAGCTTTGTACAAAGTTGGGAAAAAATACTTTATATGTGGCTTTCTTACCCTCCCTTCTGCCCTGAAATAAAGCACATGAAGAAAAAAAAATGTATGTTCTCAGACTGGGTTATAAAATAATACCTTCTCCTTGGTTCACATTATCTCAGTTTGAACTCCCAAGCACTCAATGAACTGTGGCTGGTTTGGTTCCATTGAATCCCAAGTAGAGTCCATAGGAGTGAACCAAAGACTCTGAGGGTCAGAAGAGATCTCAGACATCATCAGATCAAATTTCTGCACAACATTTCCCAAAAGCAAACATCCATGCTGTTTGAATACCTCTAGTGACAGGAAACTCGTTATTTTACAAAGCAATGGTAGGATCAAAGCAATATTCTAGTTCCAGGTTGAGGACTTCTTCCTGCTACTTATCATCCACTCATACTTGAACACAGAAAAGCCTTTCATATATCATTAAGATCACAGTGTTGAATCCTCTGTACCTGGGCTGGGGATAGTACCGGGGAATTGCTTCTCCGGACCCAAAGTCAAAGCAAGGCACGGGACCTGGGTCTCTTCACTAGAGCAAGTTGAAAAGAGTGGCCCATGGGAAAGAGCTCAGGACCAAGAGCCAGATGGGGGGAATTAGAACCCAGCTCTACCACAAATCTTCAATCTTGCTTTGTAACTCCTTAAGGCATTGGTTACCTCCTCTCAGCCCTAAAATAAGCATCCTGCTCTCTCCCTTTTCTATTTGATTAGAGGTGATGTGCTGATCAAATGAGATTATGGATATGAAATCACCCAGAAAATTACGAAGGACCACCCCACTTGCCCTAATGTGGGGCTGGGGCACAGAATAGCACTTCAGCCATCAGTGGAAGATTGATTGGGAAGTGATGTTCTTAGCAACCTCCCAGGAACCCCAGGAGCAGAAGGTGCAAGGAGCAGAGGGTGGAGCTGAGAGAAGGGAGTGTCCAGGCCTGTCCTTCCCCAGCCCAGCATCAGGGCTCTGATAGGGTCTTTAGCAGCCTCTCTTCCTGCTGGTGACACCATGTGTATCCATGAGGCTACAGTGGGAAGATACTAGGGAGAGTCAGTGACCTGGGACCAACATACTGGCTGAAGGGCTGGGCTTTGTTGAGATGATGGTTTGCTGGAGCTAATCATTCTGTAGGAGTTTCACTGTTACTTGAAAGCACTGACTGAGTTTCCTCTAGGCCAGTAATGGCAAACCTCATAGAGCTTTCAATGATACTAACACCCCGCTGTGGCAGGCATGCCATAGGTTCTAGGCCTTAGGGTGGCATAGCCTCATTGGCATGCAGTTTGGGACTCTGTAGGAAGAAAGGTTATGGGCCACTCTGAATGCACAGTCCTATTATTGTAACATATAAGAATAGGGATGTCTCAAATTCATCCAGGACTATGGGGCTCCTGAGCATTTCTGTGTCTGCCCCAGGCTGTCCATCCCACGTGCAAGGACCTACTGTGTCCAGTCTCTGGGTGAGCAGACTGAGGGGCACAGGTGAAGCACCGTGCCTTAGGGATGGGGACAGTTAGGTCTAGGATTTTGAGCAGTTAAACCAAGAACTGCTCCGTGGCCTCTAGTGTGGGTGGCTGTTCATACCTTTGTTCTCTTCCTCCTCAGCCCTGCCAGCCCTTCTGGTTTATCTCCTCTTCCCTAGGGTGGCCTGGTGGGTGGGTAGCTGCCAAACATCGGAAGGTTGTGCCAGTGTAGGTGATAGCAAGGCCATTCCTCAGAGCTCTTTGCTTTTCTTACCATGTGTTTAGGAAAAGGACAGTGGCATCCAGAGTCTCAGAGCCCTCACCAGCCCACAGAGCATGTTCTGCAATGGGATAATGAGAAATTGCTTTTTTAAACATCTTACCAACAAAAGGTCTAAATTTCTTGAACAGTTTAGCTTTAGCAGTAATCTGGAAAGATGTGCAGGTATGGACAAGGATGGAGGCTGTGTATAGTTAATCATGTAGATCCAAATTCATTTGGCTTCAAAGACAAGATGGTGGGCGATGGTTTGTTTATTGACTCCATAATTTAGGAGACGCGAGAAGGATTGCCTGCTAAAAATCATCATCCTTTATTCAAACTTTATAACAGTGCCCTGCAATAGGGCCATAGTAAACCCATTAAGGTGACTTCTCAGGGGGTGTGTCCGCTATGGCACTGGGAAATTTGGTCAGCAAGATGCCATGGGAAGGCGAGGCTAACACAGACACAAATGTATTTAAAGTACTTTTGTAAGTATAAAAATATTGTTCTTCTTTTGGCTACAATTCCTGATCTTGGTTAATAAATTACATCAAAATGACCTGAAGTTAAAAAGGGGGGGCGGAATCTGAGCAAATAGTGCCCCTGGTATTGTAAAGCTTTGAATGTTTTCACACCCCATTAATTTATTACTTCTCTTTCTTCATCTTTAAATTTCATTTTTTTTTTTTCAAAAATTCCGACTCCCTGCTGCTGCAGTGATTTTCATCTTGTTGTTAATTTTCCCTGCTCCATATGGAGCTCCAGACATTTCACCTGGAGGCTGTACTAGATTTTGCTGTAGTGATCGTACTTCCGGAGGCCAAAACTGTCATTTAGGGTTCCTGGTGCATCTGTCTGCGCCAGGCTTTTCACTGGCATGGAAGAGTGTGAATAACAAATTGGATGCACCTGAGATTCGGATGATTAGTGTGTTTTGTGAATCTCCACGACTTGTAAGCAGATAGCGCTGGGGGGAGGGGCGGAGGGCCTCACGGTGGCTGTGGGCGAATCCTTACTCACACCTTCCATTTGGGGCTCTGCGAGGGAAGTGCAGACATCCTAGGCCGCCGGAGTGCTGAGAGAGTAACAAATATTTCATCCTGCCTTGTCATTGATTAGAAAAGAGCCTTTAATTTCATTTCACCCCATGTTGTGATTAATTTGCATTCTTTGTCAGAAGTTAATGGAGTTTTTTATGGTTCACTCTGAAATCCTTGAAGACATCAGACTTGATCTGATGTTTATACAACCGCCAGCGGAATTTTTTCGTTTGATTGATGGCAAGCTTGATGTTATTCCAAACGGCTTTTTAAGCTGTTTTTAAGAATTATTTGAATAAAATGCAAGCAAGATATTGTTGTAATGATCAAGATTATCTGTTAAAAATCTGTTTCAAATAAAGAAGATAAGTAGTAAAAAAGATCAAAAAGATAAGAGAAATAGTGAATAGTAATTTTATTTATTAAAAATACATAAAGTGGCAGTCAAATAAATTATTGCACTCTAGATAAGATCACTTTCATTGAAAAAAAGTATGCCATCATCTTGCCAGATAGAATAATTAAGCCCAAAGTAAAAGGAAAGTCTGACTCTGAGGGATTAGAAACCTTTACTACCAATTGGTTGATTCTCATTTATTCCCGTTAGCTGAGCAAAATGATGACTTATTACTTGTCTCAATAAAGAGGCATTCTTAAACCCCAATACAAGTTAAATATAAGTAGAAAATAGAAGATTTTAAGTGTAAGACTAGCATTCCTGATGGTGTAATGACTGGTCTTTTCTATAAGATTGTACAGAAATGAAAATATCCTGTTGTTAAAACCAAGACATCCTGGCTGTTCCTGCGTAAGGGAAGTGTGTATTCACCCCCTGTACACTGTAATATCGAAGTACAAGAGGAGCCATAGGTGGCATCTGCTTCAGAACCCCCGCTCTTTTTTTTTTTTTTTTTTTGGCACTGGGGATCCAACTCGGGACCTTGTGCTTGCACAGCAGGCGGCGAAACCACTGAGCTAAATCCCCGGCCCAGAACCCCACTCTTAACCAAGGAAATATGTTTTGCATATGCCTTTTGATTACTAATACCATTCATTTGATTTGGGGGCTTTTTCTTGCTCCAGCAGGATGTGTGCTGCTCCTGAGACTTAGTTATAGGTCAGAAAGGTACTTATCTGAGCACTTTCATTTAAAACAGATTAATTTATTTGCTGTTCCTGAAAGTTTGCTAAATAATTGGGTGGTTTTAATTGAAGTTACTGCTTTCTGATCCTTGCGTTAACATGATCTAAGGTCCTTTTTATTGTATGTAATCCATATTATTGACCAGATTTGCCCTGTTTTCATTTAAATGTAAGCAGCTTGTTAAGGAGAAAATATTTTGTTTAACTTAGCTTGGAAGCCTGCTATTTGAATATTTGGGTTTTGTTTTTTTGATTTTTCTAACTGACAGACTGTCTTTTAAATATTCATTTATTTTGTAGTAATAAATTATTCTGTGGCTAGAGTATTTGTTTTACTCTACCCAGAATGGAAAGCTTATGTTCTTAAAACTATTTAAAAACATTAAATATTTTTCAGACACTAATGTCAAAATACTTGAGTTTTTAATACTTAATTTTATTCATGTTTTAAAAGCCTTTGACAGGTGTATTTTTACTAATTCTAACTTTGATTAATATTATTTTAAATTTCATATTAAATTTAGATTGCAGCTATCACTGCCTTATATATTAATATACTAATCATGCCTAGAATTGCAGAATACCTAAAAAGTTTGCTCCCTGAAGGAAGGTATTTAGAATCTATCCTTTGTTGCATAAACTTTCTGAAGTTCAGAACATAAAGGATTTATGTAAATTGTAAGTATCTAGTGTTTTGTATGAGGTCTCTAACAAAGGAAAAATAGCAGTGGATAATTTCCCCAAAGTCTTAGCATTCAACTTTTTTTTTTTTTTTGTGTGTGTGTGTGTGGTACTGGGGATCAAACTCAGGACCTTGGGCTTGCAAGCCAGGCGTGATGCCATTCAACTTTAGTTGGCCAACAAACGTACACTTGCAGTTTTTTACCTAAACAGATTTTTAGCCTACATGTCTTAATTCATTGTTTATATTTATCCTCAGTGTGTAAGATATGGACATTTAAAATCTACCAATATTTCTTCTTAATTTACTTTATTGTTTTGTATTATATTGTGTTTTTTTGGTACTAAGGATTGAACCCCGGGCTTCCAGTATGCTAGGTAAGTGCCATACCACTGAGCTTAAATCTCAAGCTCTTCTACTGATATTCCAAGCCATAAAATTGATTTATGTTCCATAAAGGCAGAGTTAAATTTAAGTGATATAAAGATGTTCATTTGTACACATTTGCTTCTTCCCAGGAATTTTTTAATTGCCAGTGCCAAATTCTACTCCCAGTATCCATGTCAGGCTTATCAAAAGGTCTCACCATTTTATTTACTTAGCCTCTGCCAAAAACAGTAAGTGGGTTCCTAGTTTCTCCTTAAAAAACACACCAGAAATGGACAAGAAATTACCTGTACCCAAAGCATAGGTAGCTTAGAAGAGTGAAATCTTTCATTAAAGGTAAATTACTTATTAGTTTCTCGTGTACTGTATATGTACTTAGCCAGTTAGGGTAGTAATGCCTGTCTTTTTAAAGTACCAACCCCAGATTGGTTTGGTTTTATAGCACCACCTAAAGTAAACTATTGTATGACATGCATCTCAACTTTAATCAATATTTCTTTGTTGTTGAGCCTTCACTCTGAGCCTGGCACTGTGCAGAGCCCTGGAGCACAGGATGAAATAGGTAATCCTTCCTTAGAATCCAGTCCAGCAGGAAGGAAAACACAAAACCAACAGATGGCAGCTGATGTGAAGGGCACCCTCCAGGAGCTGGGACACTGGCCTTAGCTGAGAGGGAGTGAGCGATCAGCTCACTTTGGGATCCCAAGGTTTCACTGCCTAGCAGGGCGAGGAAGAACGGTGTAGGCCAGTGATGGCAATCCTTTTAGAGATCGAGTGCCCAAACTGCAATCCATAACCCACTTATTTATCACAAGGTGCCAAACTGCAGTTAAACCTGAATATTCAGTGGTCTGCTGCTGGGGCGATGTTGGGGTGACTTGGCTCTTGTGCCAACAGAGAGGGCTCTGTGTGCCTGCTACAGCACACGTGCCATAAGTTCACCACCACTGTTCTAGGCTCTCAAATCAAAATGTGATGAAAATGGAAAGAGGTGAAGTTCTGCAACACTACTGTGTTTGGCATCCTGCCAGTATTGTTGCTACTTTCATTTTCCTCAGTAGTTTAGCAGTTCCCCTAGGTAACTTTTTTGTTTGTTTGTTTGTTTTGGTACCAGGGATTGAACTAAGGTCCTTGCGCTTGTGCAGCAGGCAGCGAAGCCACTGAGCTAAATCACCGGCCCTCCCCTAGGTAACTTTTAAGGCAACACTATAGGGAATAGGAAAGGGAAGAGAAGAATGGAAGAGAAGGAAAAAAGGATGGGCAAAGCAAATGTAGCAGAGAACAGAAAAAGAAAACAGGTTAGAGGATTTCATGGCTCCCTTTGGGATGGCTGGATGCCAGCCTAAGGTTATAAGTACTTGAGGTTCAAGATCCCTGCCCCAAGGGCACTTGGCCCAGGCCTCTGAGGGCTGCCCTGCCATTCTCTGTGATTTCAGCTTGGTACAGCCCAGGACATTTTCTGGACTGCTGGGGAGGAATTGTCATGAGCAAATGAGCCAACGCCTAAGAAAGCACATTGAAAAATATAAGGTGGTAAACAAGAACAATAATAGTAGTATTATTTATATTTCTAGAAAGCACTTCAGGGATTTACCTATGTTAGTCTGAAAATATATGACCATGTCTCATGCCAGGTAGGACTAAAATGAATTACTTTTCTGATCCCACAAGAGCCTTCTGTTACAGTCCTGTTGTTGTTGTTGTTGTTGTTGTAATTTATCATTCAGAATCACAGTCATACTATATAGAATTATATACAGAATCTAGTCACTTTTAGTCCAGGAATTGGGGAGTAAACTTGCAATTTTTAAATAATCAGTGTGGCCTAGAAATGGTATTGAAGTTCAAAGTAATGACCTTGGCCTATAGTCTGGCTTCCCAGTGGTGACTCTGCCACCCTCTTTCCCTCTTAGATCTGCGGTCCAGAGCTCTTCCATTGCCCCCGCCCTTGGTTTTATTGGCACAGTCAGCTACTCCATCGATATGAAGAGATCTTTCAATAATCTGATCTAACTCTTATTTTACCAAGGAGGAAATGGAAGTGCATAGCCATTCATGACTCACACAGTTACCAGGAATTCAGTGGCAGGGTCAGACTGTGTCCCACTCCCTGTTCAGTGGTCTTTTCTCCCTGGTGGATGGTGGGGACAGAAAGTGAGATGAGGCATCCAGAGGCTTTGAGCCCAAAGGACAGTCCTTATTTTATACAGCCAACCACTCAAGTCCTGCCGCCAACTGGTATCTACAGAGATGGAAATTACTCTTCCAAGATGCTCTGTGCCTGCCAGGTAATTGCTGGCTGGATATGGATCCCCAGAGGGAAGATGGTCCTCAACAGCAGTAGTAGCAGTGGAAACAAACACATCAACTTTTATTGTACTCTGGTGCTTTATTTATCACCATTCAGCATAGGAAACTTGTGTAGATGTGGGGTTAGGGGATCACTGGCGTCCAAGTTAAAGGGGCAGACCTGGCTGAGCCTTGTTTGAGCAGATTACTTTTTAGATGCTTAAGAGTTCTAGATTAATGCCTGGAGGGTTTGGGAATTCTTCCTCAACTCATATGTTAATGATGCTAAGAACCCAGCTCTCTTTAGTGTCAATAAAATAAACAAGCTAAGTTCATTGAAAAAATCAGTGAGTTACCTAAAAAGAGCAAAGAGCTGATGCAATGTAGGACTGGAGATTGCCCCAGGGTCCTCTAGGAGCCAGGAAGGGGATAGATAGTTTATATACAAAGTCAAGGTGTTACTTCCAAGGGATTATGGGAAACCAAAGCAGCCAATTACAGCCAAGTGTGGACCCTGTAAGTCTGAATCAGCAAGGTCTGCAGATGGTGACCACCATGGTGAGAAGGAAAGAAAAGCTTCAGGATGAATCACTTTATGAGAGATCTACAGGGTCTGAGGAAGGCAGACCAGAGGGGCTCCACAAAGCTTGCCTTATTTTGTTTTGTGTTCAGAAATGGGTTGCAGAGAGCACCTTGTGGGCATGAAGAGACCTTGACCTGGCTCTAGTTCTAGTTTAGTAAAATATTGTAAATAACACAGAGTTCCCGGCCAGAGGGTGCCCTCCAGCCCTGGCCCTTTGGACAGCTATGTGCCTTTGTGGTAGCCAGGCAGCTGAAAGCACTAGTGACTTAGTGGGGAGGGACCAGAGGAGCAAATGATATGCCCAACAGGTGACAGTTTAAGTCATGGTCACTGTATGGTTTCTACCCAAATAACACAGAGTGCTAACCTGAGTTCTTGTCCTGGCTTTTCTTATTAGCTGCCTGACCCCCAGACCTCAGCCTCCTCCGCATCCAGGAGGTGATGATGGTGTCTATGTCTGGGATCTACAGAATGCTGGGAAAACAGTGCACAGAAGAGATGGGAATCCGCCCCACACCCAGCCGCATGTGTGTGCACTCACGAACACAGGGGCACCTCTGCTTTTATCTGGTCATTTTTTAATGGCTCTATGTGATATCTCATTGGAACTACAGGTTATTTGGTCAGTAGAGTCTGAAAAATGCTGAGCCATTTGCCCCATGTTCTCCCTTGGAGTTTATTAAAACCTGATTTACTTCTATCAGAATATGAAAGGAATAAACCAAATCTCTGAAACCAAAATCGAACTTCATCCAGTTCATTCTAGATTCATGACTTCCTTTCTTTAAATCTATTTTTAATTTCATTTACAGTCCAGCCAGTAAGGCATTTGTTAATTAACAAGATTATGTGTGACTGTATTTCAGATCCATCCCTTCCTCATCCTGTGTGAACTGCGTACTGGCTGCAGTTGCAGCTTATCTCGGATCTCAGTAGGCCAGACATTGTTGTCAAATATATAGTGGTTTAAAGGAAAAAAAAAAAAACCTGATACTTGGAGCCTAGACCCAGGAAACAAGCTTCCTCACAGTGCCTAGAAATGTTGCTTGAGGGTGAGGGGTTGGAGGAAAATGTCTTAGAAATCTATAGAGCTTGAGGGAAAAAATCGAAAGTCCATATGTCCAAATCCCATGGGGCATTCAGAAGAATGCAAGCCCTGTGCTTAAGTCTTAGCCCTGCTGCTAAATTGCTGGGATCTTAAAGAAGGTGTTCATTTTTATAGACCAGCAATTGTATCTGACTTATGGGTTCTAGAATCTGGTACAGCCATAGCACAAGTACTTGATGAACATACATGAATCCTGGAAGCATGTATTTGACTCGTGTTTACTTTTTTACATGTTGGCAAA